AGGGAGGTGAGCAGGACAGCCTGGGGAATCCCTGCATCCCTGCCTTGCCTCTGCTCCTGCTTTAACCCCATTCCCAGCGCAGCCACAAGCCAGACCGGTCCTGGGAGCCGCCTGACCAGCTGCCTCCACCCCCTGGCACAGCCAGATCCTCCAGGGGGGAGGGAGGGGAGGGCACAGGACCCCCTGGCACAGCCCCAGCCCGGCACTCTGTGCCTCCTGGGGACACTGGGGTGGGACCTGGGGGGTGCTCCCCAGGAACCCTGGGGCTCCAGCACCACCGAGAGACCTGCTGGCTCCTTCCCAAGGACACCCAGTGGGTGTTCCCCGGGGACCCTCGGGGTTCCAGCCCCGCCGGGAGACACCTGCTTGGTGCTCCCTGACAACCCTGCTTATTCCAGCTCCCCTTGCACGCTCCAGGTTAACTGGAGTTCCATCCCCCCATGGGAGACCCAAGCAGGTGTTCCCTGGGCTTCCAGGCCCCATAGAAGACCCAAGCAGGTGCTCCCCGGGGACCCCTGAGGTCCCAGAGTTCCTGGGGTGCTCCCCAGGGTTCTGGCACTCCTGGGGTGCTCCCTGGGGTTCCCAGCACTCCTGGGGTGCTCCCTGGGGCTCCGGGCACTGCCAGGGTGACTCACCTGGCGCCGGGCACGCAGCGGACGTACATGCAGCCGACGCGGTTGCCGCGGCTGCTCTTGGTGACGAACACCTCGATGTTGTCCAGCTCCCGCTGGGAATACTGGAAATCCGCCCTCTCCTTGAGGTGCAGCTTCCAGCGGCCGGCGGCGCCGCGCAGGGAGCCGGTGCTGGCGCTGCCCGCGGGCTCGGGCTCGGGCAGCACGGCGTAGGTGGGCTCGGGGGGCAGGAAGGCGAGCTTGGCCGCGATGCGGCTGGGGCAGGGCGGGCAGCAGAACAGGCAGCACAGCTGGCTCAGCGACAGCCCGTTCATGGTGAGGGGACACGCGGGGCGGCCACGCCCGCGGCGAGGGAGGGAGGGAGGATCCCGACGGGGCAGAGGCTGAGGGGGGATGGGATGGGGTAGGGGGGGTGACGCCCCGTCCGTCCTCAGCTGGCCCTGGGCACGGCGGGGCCCGGCCGGGCCGGGCAGCGCGGCGGGGATGGCGTGTCCATGTGTCCCTCCGTGGGCAGCGGGGCCTGCGGGCAGGGGGTGGGCACTGAGGGCTCTGCCGCGGCCACCACACGCGTGACCCACCCCGTGCTCCTCCCGCAACGCCCGCGGGCTCCCTGTGTGTGTGTCCCCCCACCCCCATCCGCTCGCAGCCCACGCAGCCCCCAAAAACAACCCTCCTCCCACACTTGCAGCCCACGCGGCGGCCCACCGAGCGCAAACTCACACCCACCCACCCACCTCCCCCACGCCCACGCCAGCGGCAGGACAAAGGACACAACCCCCCCAGGGCCAGCCCACCCCCCCTCCCACCCCGGTGCCGGCTCAGGCGGGAGGGAGAGCGGAGCTCCCGAGGGGAGAGAAAGGGAAGAGGGGTTAAAAAAAAAAAAAAAAAAAAAAAAGTAACTATTTTCTGCAAGTTTGGGCACAGGCTCGAGCTGAGGAATGTCAAACCAGCCCACACCCCGAGGAATTCGCTCCATCTGCTTCCCAAGGGCTGGGAAAGGGGAGGAAAGGGTGGAAGGGGGAGGCCTCACACACCAAGCCGGGAGACAGCACGGAAATGTTGGGAAGGAAGGGATGTCCCTGGCCCCCCGTGCCCCCCACCCCACAGGGTGGCACCTGGCACGGGTCTGTGGGATCAGTGGGATCAGTGCCACGCACCCCCCTGGGTGGGCAGCCCTGCCTGCCCCCTGCCCTCACCCCACAGTCGGCACGGGGGGCCAACACACACCTCACGACCACCCCGTGGCTGCCGTGGGGGCCGGATCCCCCCCACAGAAGGGAGGTGGGGATCCACACTACACTCACCCTGTGACCCGTGTGGGACCCCCCCACTACCACGGACCAGGGGATGCTTCCCCCTCCACTGACAGGCACGGGACCCCCAGCCCATCGCACTGACTGTGGGGTGGGACTGTGGGAGCCTCCCCCAGACACCCACTGACCCGTGTGGGACCCCCCCAGACACACACTGACCAATGTGGGACCCCCCCAGACACACACTGACCCTGTGGGACCCCCCAAAAACACCCACTGACCACTGTGGGACCCCTCCAGACCCAGACACACTGACCACTGTGGGACCCCCCCAGACACCACTGACCACTGTGGGACCCCCCCCAGACACCCACTGACCACTGTGGGACCCCCAGACACACACTGACCAATGGGACCCCCAAAAACACCCACTGACCACTGTAGGACCCCCCAAAACACACACTGACCACTGTGGGACCCCCAGACACACACTGACCACTGTGGACCCCCCAGACACACACTGACCAATGTGGGACCCCAAAAACACACACTGACCACTGTGGGACCCCCCCAGACACACACTGACCACTGTGGGACCCCCCCAAAAACACCCACTGACCACTGTGGGACCCCCCCAAAAACACCCACTGACCACTGTGGGACCCGCACAAACCTAGTGACCGGTGTGTCCCGTCCCCCCCCGATCGGTGTGGACCCTCCCAGCTGCCGTGGGCCACCCTCCCCCTACTCTGACCATCGTTGGACCCCCCCACATCCACCCACTGACCGCTGTGGGACCCCCCCAAAAAAACCACCCACTGACCAGTTCCCTCCTCCTCTGAGTGCGGTGGAACCCCCCCATCCCCAGACACAGACTGACCGGTGCCCCGACCCTGTGATCCCAACCACACACACTGACCCTGTAGATCCCCAACCACCACACACTGACCCCTGTGAGCCCCTCAACCACCACATTAACCCCTGTGAGCCCCCACCACACACTGACCCCTGTAGATCCCAACCACCCACACTGACCCCTGTAGAGCCCCCCAACCACCACACACTGACCCTGTGAGGCCCCCAACCACACACTGACCCCTGTGAGCCCCCACCACACACTGACCCCTGTGGGCCCCCCAACCACCACACACTGACCCCTGTGAGCCCCCACCACACAGCCCTGTAGGCCCCCACCACACACTGACCCCTGTGAGCCCCCAACCACCACACTGACCTGTAGGCCCCCACTACACACACTGACCCCTGCAGGCCCCCCCATTCCCCTCCTCAGTGCCCGGTGCCCCTGTCCCCCATGCCCGCAGGCCCCACACTGCCCCCTGCTCACCGGGCGCTCCCCCCCGCCCCGCCGGTCCCCGCGGGTCCCCCCGGTACCTGCCCATCGTCCCGGGCCCCCCCGGCGCCTCTCGCTGCTCCCGCGGCCGCTGCGGCCTCCCAGGCGGGGGCGGCGCTGGCCCCGCCCCCGGCCGGAAGTGACGCCATCGCTCCGCGCCCCCCCGTTGCCATGGAGACGGCGCGGCCTCATGGCCGGGCCTGGCCTGGCGGGGCACAAACCGAGCCTTCCCCTTCCTCGAATCCCCCGCGGTGGTTGTGTTGAACTCATACAGCCCCCTGCGGAGCGCCCAGGCCGACCCTCTGCCGCGGCAGGGGCAGCCGGAGCGGGTGACCACAGGAGCCGGGGGGGGAGGTTGGGACGTGTCCGGTGAGGGGGAATCCACGCCCTCCCTGGGCGGCTGTTCCAGGGCTCTGAACGCACGGAGGCATGGGAAGAAGTTCTGCCTCGTGTTGAGCTGGGACTTGCCGTGGTTCAGTTTGTAGCCACTGCTGCTCGTCCTGTTGCTGGGTGCCTCCAAAAAGGGTCTGGCACCATGCTCTGAGACTCCTTGGAGATATTTGTGTGGATTGATGAGATCCCCTCTCAGATGGGGTATTTGTGGGGGTATTTGTAGGGATCAATGAGATATTGGTGTGGATTGATGAGACCCCCTCTCAGTCTTCTCCTCTCCAGACTGACCAGGCCCAGCTCCCTCAGTCTCTTCCTCATCAGGGAGATGCTCCAGACCCTTCACCATCTCTGTGGCTCTGCTGGACCCTCTCCAGCAGCTCCTTGTCCTTCTCGAGCTGTGGAGCCCAGAGCTGGACACAACACTCCAGATGTGCCTCCCCAGGGCCGAGCAGAGGGGCAGGATCCCCTTCCTGACCTGGCCACACTCTTCCCAATGCCCCCCAGGATCCCTCCTGGCCCCAGGACACACGGCTGGCCCATGGACAACTCATCCTCCCCCGGTCCCTCCCCACAGAGCTGCTCCCCAGCAGGTCACCCCAAACCTGGGCTGCCACGTGGGGTTGTTCCTCCCCAGGAGCAGGACCCCACACTTGTCCCTGCTGACCCTCATTAGGTTTCCCCTCTGCCCAATTATCCAGACTAATTATTAATGTCCCACAGAAGGGCAGCTCAGCCCTCAGGTGGCTCAGCCACTGCCCCACTTCTGTCTCAGGAAACACTGAGGGTCCATCCCACCCCGTCCTCCAGGTCACTGATGAACAAGCTGGGCCCAGAGCTGATCCCTGGGGAGCCCCACTGACCACAGGGGGATTCTGGATCCAGCAGGATCCTGGATCCTCTGGCTCAGGACCCCCCGAGCTCTGCCATTCCCCCAGCCCTTCACCCAGCCCACAATTCCCGAGCTTTCCTACCAGGATGTCACAGGAGGCAGTGCCAAAAGCCTGGCTGGACTCAGTGCTGGTGCCAAAGGCTGCCCAGATCCCCCTGCACGGGCACAGGGACGGGGGGAGGCATTTGGGGCCTGTCCCAACCCCCTTCCCTGTTCCCACTCCAGCCCCATGAGCACCAAGGGGGGATCTGGGGAACTCAGGGCAGGGGGGGAGGAAATTCCAGACTTCACAGAGTAGTCAGGGTTGGAAGGGACCTCTGAAGATCATCCAGTCCAGCTGCTGGGGGGAGGTTGAGATCCCAGGAGTCTGGGTGCTGGGAGTTAGGGATTATCCACAGGGAAACTGAGGCACAGAGACCCCGGGGCCACCCTGAGTGGGGCCCACATGGAACATCCCTGCCCGTAACAAAGCACCCACGGCATCCAAGCAAACTAGACTGTGTTGTATTTACACTCATGGAGAGGGAGGGGATGACAGGGAGGAGGTGGGTGGTGGAGAAGCTGGAAGGTGGCCGGGGGGCTTTCCCGCCGCGTCCAGGGGAGCTGCTGCACCTCCCCGGAGCTCGTGGCCCTCGGGAGAACACAAGGCAAGGGCTGGCTGCGATTCCTGCTCCCCCTGAGAGCCGTGGATCGTCCCCAGCCAAGAGCTCAACAGCAAACCCAGCCCAGGGGTGTCCAGGGACAACACCTGCATGCTCTGGGTGAGACATCCACGCCATCCAGGAGCAAAAACCCGAGGGAAAGGCTGGCAAGGGGCAGCCTCGCTCCTCTCTGTGCTGGGGGGTTGGGTTTGCATCAGCTGTGGAAGTCGGGACCCTCCTGGTCACACTGTAGAGTGGCAGTGGCCACAGGGCACACGCTGCTCTGGCTGGATCAGACTGGGAAACCCAACACTCAGGAAATCCCCCCTTGCTGAAGGAGCCCTGCCAGGAGCAAGGCAGGAAAACAGCACTGGGAAGGAAGGGCTGGCCGTGATTCCCCCCCGGCTGCTCCCTGGGGCTCTGCTCTCCAGCACCCAGGCAGACACTTCCCAAGGGTGGCACAGCCAGCAGCGGGGCAGAATTGCTGCCTGTCCCCTGGGACACATCCAGGGTCCTGTGCTTGTGACACCAGAGCCCCACGGTGACACCCTGCTCCCGGTGTTCCCAGGAACAGGGTGAGGAGGTGCCCCAGGAGCCGCTGCCCTGCCTCGTGCTGCATCCCTGAGCCCTCCAGAGGCTCCTCCTGGAGGGATGCCAAGCTGGCATTTGGCTTTCCCTAAACCTCCCTACACGTGTGCTGATGTGGGCACCCCAGAGCCCTTCAGGTGCTTTTTAGGGTGCCCGAGTCCTCTGAGCGTGTTCACTGTACCCCAAAGCTCTCCTGGCACCCCGGAGCCCTCCCTGAGTCTTCCACCACCCCAGGGAACTCTCTCAGTGGGCCCAGAGCTCTCCAAGCACCTCTCCCTTGCTCCCTGGGGCTCTCCCTGGGCATTTCTGAGCCTCTGCTCTGTGCTTCCCTGGGACCCTCCTCGGGACTTTTCCCGTGCCCTGCAGCCCCTCCATGTGCCTTTCCCTGTGCCCAGTTCCCTCCGTGCGGCTTTTGGAGCATGAGGGAGGGAGGGAGGAGGAGGAGGCAGGGGAGAGGGCAGCTGGGTGGGCTCCCCGAGCTGCCCAGGGGGGAGGAGGGGACCCCGCTGTCACCTGGGGGCAGGGACAGGTCCAGAAGCAGAGGTGTGGGGACCTGAGCTTTGTGCACAACCCTGATGAGAGCGACTCGTGTAAGGCAGAAGGCAGGGAGAGGGGAGAGAGGGGAGGGGAGGAGAGGGATGGGACAGGGGACACAAACCTCGCTGGGGGAGCAGTTGGGGTTCTCCAGGGGTGTTGGAGCACGGCAGGCTGGAGCAGGGCTGTCCCTGGCTCCCGCCCTGTGGAGAAGGGCACGAGGCAGTGAGCGGAGCCTCTTCCCAAAGGTCCCGCCCTGCCCACGTCGCTCCAAGCCACGAAATGACTCCCCTGTGCCAGCCCCGCTGCTCAGTCCCCTCGGGGCTTCTCCAGCACAGGGTGGGGAGGGGGATCTGGGGCGTCAGAACCACGGAAACAACTCTGCTGCGTCAGAGCCCGGGCACCTCCCGGGGAGCAGACGGCAGCCTGGCTGCCGGGATCCCCCAGCCCCCGGGATTGCAGGAGGTGGGGCACGGGCACCAAAGTCCAGAGGCTGCTCAGGGACTCCGGCCTCGAGTCCTGGGTGGCTCACGGGACTCGCAGCAGCCGGGAAGGGAAAGCCCAGACGCTCACAGCACACAGAGCACCCGGAGAGAGGCGGGTCCCAAGGTCTTCAGCGCTGGAGCAGCGGGGCAGGACGGCCCCTTTTCCTTCGGGAAGCTGGTTGAGAACACGTCAGCTGAGCTGTGGCTGTCGGACAGGCAGGAAGGGAGAGAAGGAACACCGACTGACTGCCCAGGAGGTGCGAGGAGCCCCCCGTGTCCCGGTGCTGGTCCGTGTGCGCTGCCGGAGTCACCCTCACACCACCGCTGGGGCTGGGAGGAGGAGGGGAGGAGGAGGAGGAGGGAGGCTGGGAGGAAGGGGAGGAGCACCGGGCCGCCCTGCTGGCTGCAGTTCGAGCTGCTCAGACCCCCCTTCACAACTTCTGGATCTTCTCGGCGATAACGATGGGGTTCTCCTTGCGGATCTTCTCGGCAGCCTCTGCCTTGTAGTCGTAGGGGCAGGCGTGCATGTCGGAGTACCGGTGGATGGCACAGAACAGGTTCCCGCAGCGGCAGTCGAAGCCTGAGGGCAGGAAGAGCACAAACAAAGCCACATCAGGCCCCGTCCAGCCGGGCAGGAAGGCGGCAGGGCCCCCCCAGCTCCTTCCTGCCAGGCCAGGAAACACCACCAAGGCACACAGAGCAGGGAGGGGGTCACTGTCCCCCCCAGGCCAAAGGGACTTGGTGTGGGGGAAGGACACGTGTGGCTCTTTGCCTTCCCCTGGCTCAGCAGCTCCTCGTGCTCTGGGCAGCCCCAGCTGTCACAGCTCCCAGAGCAGCTGCTCTCTGTGTTCCCCGGGGACAAGGGACATGCCAGGCACTGCAGTGCCAGATTGCTAATCCAGGCCAGGCTCCCCGGGCAGCCCGAGCTGGAGCGGAGCCCTCGGAGCCAGCCCAGCTCCCCAGGGTCACACAGCAGCATCTGGGCTGGCCAGCAGTGAGCAGCAGGGCTGGCACCACACTGGGATCAAAAATTCCCCATTCAGTCACTTCACTCGGGGACAATGCTGCTCAGAGAGCTTCCATCAACACAGCACTCCAGGAGACTCAGGCAGGGAGCAGGGATGTTGCTGCAGGACAGCAGGGAATCCTGCTCTGTCCCTTCTCATCTTCCCAGCTCCAGCCCACAGAACACCTTACTCCAAGGTGCCACTTTACTCTTGTTTGAGAAAACTCATTTTATCCTAAAAAATGCCCTGAATACACAGGACTTCTCTGCAAGCTGAATCCTAAATGAGGAAACTTCTCACAGCTTGAAGTTCTTAACGAAAACACTCATCCAGGAGAACCATCCTCCCTGCAGATCCAAAGGCTGGGCACCAAACTACCCTGCCCAGTTCCAGGTTTATAAACCCACACGAATTCCAGGACAGCACCCTCAGATCTCCAGGCAAGCTCAGGTTCAAACTTCCCAGTCCAGACTTTGCCAAAGCCTCTTGCATCCATGCAAACAGCCATTCCCTGGCTGCTGGATGAGCTATGGAAGCCACAGAGGTGAGTGCTCCACTAGGACAGCGTGACCTGCACGGCTCCTGAGTTAACTTTTTCCAGGGAAGCACTAAATGCCAGAGATAATTCAGTGGAATGATGTTTTTATTAACAAAACCCCAGCCAAATTAATTGCTTCCCTTTCCAGGGGCAGTTTTCCCACCGACAGCGCTGACACCCATCCCTGCACCGCTCCCTCCAGCTTTACGGGCCGGATGCCGAGAGCCATCCTGCTCTCAGGAAGCTGACAGTGGAAATCAAACAGCATTAACAAATGGGATGAGCCTTGGAGAGGGATTTTCCATTTGGGTCCAGCTCATTCCGTGCCACTGTTCCGAAAGCTTTACCGCAGACCTCGACAGGAGCCGACTCTGCCTTCGCTCCACGGCAGCTTTTGCCAGGCAGCAGGACCAACCCCAGAGGTGCTGCTGCATCCAGTTCTGCCAGCCTGCATGCCAAGGCTGCCAGGACCCCTGCAGGGAGTGGGATGTTCCCCAGGCTGCTCCCTCAGCCGCAGGTCAGAGCTCCCCTCCCAGCTCCCCAGCAGCGCCTCGGCTTGGGGTGGCTTTGTGGGGAACCTCCATCCACTGTCCCTCTGAGCCACCAGAGCACGACCAGAGCTGCCCCCAGGGCTCTCACACCACGCTGCTGAGGCCACAGCCAGGTTTGCCCAGGGCCAGGCACTCACCAGTCAGGCCGATCTTCTTCCGGCAGGTGAAGCAGCGATTCTTCTTGGGTTTCGGCTTCTCCGCAGCGGCCTTGCCCTCAGCTGTGTCCTGGGGGATCTCAAGCAGGGGACCTGAAACACAGCCAAGAGTTTTGCTGCCCCTTCTTGATAAAAGCAAGCGTTTGTTTGACTGCAGGAGGTGCTCGAGGCTCTAAGTAAGCTCTGGGTCTCTGCCAGCCCCTCTGTGTGCACATTGCCCAAGCTGTGGGATCTGCCTCGTTCCACGGAGATCTCACACCTCACACAGCCTCACGGTTTTCTCTCTGTGTCAAATGCCTCACATCCAGGGCTGCAGTGGCCACTGGACAGTGACTGAATAGTCACTGCAGCTCAGCTGCTGTACAGCAACACAACTGCCAGCTGAGCCCACAGTTAATCTTTGCAGGGGGAAAAAAAAAAATAGTTAACCCCTTGTAAGTACAACTAATTATTTTTGCTGGCTCTTATGTAAGTGTTCCCCATATGTAGGTCTCAGAATGCTTTACACAGATATCCATCACTGCCTCTAATCTACCAAAGGGAAAACTGAGCTCTGAAAGCCAGATTGTTAAAGGTCACTGATGCTTAGCAGGATTTCCTCCAGTACCTAAGCAGGTTAGAGAAGTCAACAGGAGGGAGGAGCTGTGGCTGCAAACAGATATACACCTGCTCTGAGGAGACAAAACAGTCAGAGGCAGCTTTGTGGAGCTGACCCTAAACAGCTTCCCAAAAATCAGAGAGTCAGAAGAAAGGGGCAGGCTCTCCCAAGCCTGTTTCACCACACAGTCTCTCACCTTGCTGTTGTAAATTGTCTCCTGGGCTTGCAGGCCAGGGATTACCAAACCCAAAATGCACAGTCATGTGCAGTGACTAGAAACAGTTTTTTTAGCAACTAACAGCTCCTGGGATTTTTTTAGCTTTCAATGCAAGCTGTCAGCTGAACCAAAGGAGGGTGTCTCTGCAGAGTCACCTGGTTATGGCATCAGCTGGAGGATGTGCCTGCTGGGCAGTGCCCCCCGTGCTGCCCAATCCCCTCAGGAGGGAAACACCCCCTCGAGGGACAGGTACCCCATCACAGGGGTGGCACCAACCAGGCCCCACTGCCCCTGGGCACTGCCACAAACACATCTCCTGTCTCCCAGAACTCTGGTGGATCCCTGTCCCTCCCTCCCTCATCCTGGCAGGGGAGTGCTGCCAGCGCCAGGCCGTGGGCCGCTCCGGGCTCGCTGCCATTCCCCGGGAGAGGCGTCATGGAAGATTATCCTCCTGCCAGCGACGCCGGGGCTGGCAGCTCCTCAGCCCTCAGCCCACAGAGCCACCTCTATCAGCCTGCCCTGGGGCACAGCATTTGCTCTCCTCCCTGGCTCACAGAGGAGCTGTTTCCTCTCTCTCCAGGTGTGTGTTCCCTGCCTGTCCCCCGGGGTCAGTGGCCAGTGCTGCTCAAAGCAGCTCTTGGGATTCGTGTCGCTCACACTCGTGCAAAGGTCAAACCGACCTGACGAGGAAGATGCTGATGAGGCTTCTTCTGTCTTGCTGAACTCCTCTGGCTCAGTGCTGGTTTCCTCTCTGGATATGCTCATGGCAGTCATCTGATGGGTCACAGGAGTCTGAGCACTGGGAGCATTTGCAGCAAACAAACAAACAAACAAAGAGCAAACACATGGGTTTTTTTCCTTTCATGAACAGTTGTTATGTGGGAGAGACCTCCAGCCCGTAGAGTTAATTTCCTTATACTCAGAAGTAGGTCAGGAGTACAGCAGACGTGAGATTTGGGATTCCCCTGGAGATCTGGGATCAAAGTTCTTTCCAGGCATACCTGGAATGAACCCGTGACGATTTGTTTCCTTTTCTACCCAACTCTATCTCCCAGCCAAGGCCCCAGCTCCAAACAAGTCCAGGGACAGGGCAATAGAGTTATGAGTCAGGACTGTAACGTGACAAAGCTCAGTGCAGCTCTAACAACCTTCCCATCAAACATGCCTCAGATATCTAATCCTGCTGCCACAGCTCCCAGACTGGGTCACCTCCAGGTGCTTTCACTTGAAATCCCGGAATATCCTGAGTTGGATGGGAACCAAGTTCATCACCAAGTTCAACTCCTGGTTCTGCACAGGACAACCCCAAACATCCCACCACTAAGGACTGAGCAGAAACACAGCAGCTGAACACAACCAGTGACAGAGCAGCTGCTCTGGCTCCAAGAGAACCAAGATACCACTTGAGTCACCACCAAACCCCTGGCACCTCACTCTACACATCATCATCATCATCATCCATCAGGGACATCTCCATCTTCCAGACAAACCAGGGTCACAGTGAGGAGTTTGATCCAGCCCATTTACCCCCAGGCCCCATGACAGGTGACACCCTGTGCCCCGTGGGCCAGAGCTGGATTTTAGCAGGGCTGTGCCCCTACCTGGCTTTTGCATCCTCAGGTGTGGAGTCTCCCTCTGCAACTGCTTCAGAAGCCATGGGGCTGCTGCTGGCACCACTGGGAGCTGCGAGACAAGACCAGTGTTGGTAAAGCCTTTGAAAAACACCAGCGAGTTCCTCATGTGCTTGACAGCCGAGGAGGAAGCAGGAGGAGTGCTCAGCATTCCCTGCTGGAGCTGGGAGAGCACACCCCAGCTGGGATCATTCCCATATCTCCATTCCTACACCCTCCCCTCCAAATTTGTGCACAGATCTCTGGGTGGGGGGGTGATACATCAGGGCTGTCTGGATCTTGAACCAACACCACTCTGCAGCTTCTCTGAGGTGGAAGAACCAGATCCTCTCCCAGCTTCAGCAGACACAGGTTGGTTTGTGTCAGCTGAGGGGCTGAGTTGGGGGTCTCAGAAAACTCTCTGCCAGGAAAAGCCGTGTTCCTGATGCATATTTTGGGTGGTAACTCAAGGAAAGTCGTGATCACACTCAGGAACAAGCAGTGGAAGAGCTCTGGAAGGGATTTCTCACTGTGCAAAGTCTGTACATGGGGCATCTGCACAAACTCCCAGCAAAAAAAAAACCCCAACCCTGATCACATTGTGATCACATCTTCCTTCTGCTCCCAGCTCTGGCATGTACCAGGAAACAAACTTTTTAGCATATGGATTTTGGTTGTCAACGCTGTTCAGGTAAGAAAATCACACAAACCAAGTAGGCCCAGCTCTTCCCAAACAAAATGTCATTGTGGGGATCTGTGGGGTTCCCAGCAGCCAGCACATAACTCAGGGAGCAGGGAACAGCTAAAAACTGGGACCACCATTAGCACAGGTGAAGTTTTACAGTTTACTGGGAGGTGCTGACTGGGACAGAGCTTCACAAACTGGTGGGACTGGGGAGGAAACAACCGCCCCCCTTACAGGGAACACAAGTGCTCAAGGGCCCTTGATTTAGAGCCTTGGGTCTCCATGGAAAGGGACAGACATGGTTTTTCAGGAGGGGGTGAATCTGCTGGCGGCCAGCACCAGTTGCTGAACGGAGTTTGCATCCAAACCCCCATTTTGAGGCAGATTTCTCAGGAAAAACCCTCTACCTGGGGGGCTTATCCGGTCACTGCTCTGCTGCCTCTGCAGGAACTCCTTGTAGCACACGGAGCACATCCCGTTGGTGCGGGGGCTGCCGTAGAACCCGCAGCCCGTGGTGCACAGCAGGGGCACCTGGGTCTGGTTCGTCTCCTGAGCCATCCTCGCCCCTCCAAGCTGCAAGCAGGAATAAAACCGGGACAGCTGTGAGGGCCATTGTTCGCTGCAGCTGCTCAGGAAGGAGCACAAAGGATCCCGAGAGAGCCCAGTTCCTGCACGTGCCCCGCAACACAACCCCAGGCCCTCCAGCACAGGGCACAGGGGGCTCCCAAAACCCCTGTCCCTGGGGCCCTGCGCCACCCCGAGCTGCCAGGAGCTGCCCAGAGCCAGCCTGGAAAGCCCAACAGGAACTGGCTCCCGGTTCTCCCTCCTGCACCACGAGGCTCCCAAAATTCCTGGGGACAGACAAGCACATCAGACCTGAACAATCCCCTCTCCATCAGCACAAGGAGTGCCACCATAGCACTGCTGGGAGCACCCACACGGAGCTGCCCCTCAAGCTCCCAGTCAGTCACATTTTGGGTTTCATTTCGAGCCTGTCTCAGTTTTTTAATTCTCAGGAAGATGACGCAAGCGATGCAAAAAGAACCCACTGACATACGTGGGTAAGGGGAACGTGAGCGTGGTTGGGCTGGAAATAAGGATGAGGGTTTCTTTCCAGCAGTGAGACGTGATTCAGGAACACCTTCCCGAGGAACAGCTGACACAGTGAAACCTAATTTTAAATTTAATAATAATTCCCCTCTGGATCGCACACAACCCCAGGAACTCGCCCCTTCCAGCCACACACGACGTAGCATTTACAGGGCCAAACCCACCGCAGGGCTCCAAATGAGAACCATGAGGAGCAAACAAAAACCACACTCCATCCCGACGCCTGTGCGGACAGCGTGGCTGTGGCCGGTCCGGCTGTGACACAGGACGGGGTGGGGGGAAGGATGTGAGCAGGACCAGCTCGGGCACAAAGCGCTGGCACCGTGAGCCCCCCACCAGCAGCGCCGCCTTTGTGGGGCGCACAAAGTCCCCACCACCCTCCCAGCCACTTCCTTCCCCACTCCTACGAAACTCGCTCCCTTTACTCCGAGGGGAACAAAACGAGAGGAACGCGAAATCATTACCCTGCCAGGAGCGCTCCCGTGGGATGGACCCGGACCGGGCTCAGCTGGGGGACGGGGGGGTCTCCGCTGCGCTCTCCGGGGTCCCTCGCCGTGCTCAGAGCGGCGCTCCCATCCCCGCACCGGGATCCCCAACCGGCCTCTCCTCGGGCAGCCCGGGCGGATCCTCGGGGGGTCCCGGGGTGGATCCCTTGGCGGATCCCTTGGGGGTCCGGGGTGGATCCTCGGGGGGTTCCGGGCGGATCTTTAGGGGTCCCGGGCGGATCCCTCGGGGGTCCCCGGGCTGCCACGCACGGACAACCCTTTCAGGAGGAGCCGCTGGCGGTCGCGCGTCCCTGCGGAGAGAGCAGGGCCCGGCGCTCAGCGCTCCCCGAGCGCCGCTCGGCCCAGCCGGCCAGGACGGCGCGGCCGAACCCCCGGCGGCCGCTGAACCCCCCCCCATCCTCCGCGGGCCCGGGCAGGACCGCCCGGGGGACCGCCGGGACCCCCCCGCCCTGCCTTGACGACCCCCTTCCCCTCGCCGGCCCCGCTCCGCTGGGCCCCGGCTCGGCCCCCGCCCGGCCCGGCTCGCAGCGCCACTCGAGGCCGCGGCTCCGCGGCCTGCGCGGAGCGGGAGCCCTAGGCGGGCCCCGCCGGGCCGGCCCCACTCACCGGCGGCCGAGGAGGAGCGCGGGCGGCCCTGGCCCCGCGCCGGGCCGGCCCCGGAGGCTCAGGCGGGCGGCGGGCACGGAGCGCTGCCGGAAACATGGCGGGCGCGGGCCTCGAGCGCCTCCCCGGGGAGGGCCCGGGACGGGGGGACGGACGGGGGTGTGGGGACACGGGGGATGCCCCGGCGAGGGGGGGACGGGGGACAGGTGCGAGCGGCTGTAGGGGAGGGGGGCTGAGACACCCCCGGCTGTGGGGGAGGGGGTATAGCTGTGCCCCGGGTGTAGGGGAGGGGGCTGGGGTACCCCCGGGTGTAAGGGCTGGGGTACAGGGGAGGGGGCTGTGAAGCCCCTCCGGTACAGGGGAGGGGGTGTGGGTGTGACAGGGTATAGGGGAGGGGGCTCGGACACCCCCTGTTGGGGTATAGGGACTGGGGTGTAATGGAGGGGGCTGAGACACCCCTGGGTGTAGGGGCTGGGGTATAGGTGTGACAGACCCTAGGGGAGGGGCTGTGACACCCCCAGCTATAGGGGCAGGGGTATAGTGTGACCCCACTGGCTATAGGGGCAGGGGTACAGGTGTGACCCCACTGACTATAGGGGCAGGGGTACAGGTGTGACTCCACTGGCTATAGGGGCAGGGGTACAGGTGTGACCCCACTGGCTATAGGGGCAGGGGTATAGGTGTGAGCCAGCCACGGGGGAAGGGTCTGTGATGCACACACCCCCCCCCTCAAGCTATAGGAGCTGAGGTATAGGTGTTCCCCAGCTATAGGGGAAGGGCTGAGACACCCTCTCCCCTCGTGACTATGTGGGGTTGGGACACAGCCAGACTCCCCTGTAGGGAGAGGTCTGGAAGCCCCCACTGCAGAGGCTGGGTCACAGTCAAACCCAGGCTGTAGGGAGGGGGATGAGACGCCCACCCCCGAAGCTATAGGGGCTGGGACACAGATATCCCATGGCTGTAGGGGCTGGGACACCAGGGGGACTCCAGCTGTGGGGCGAAGGACTGGAGGACACGGCTGTAGCTGCTGGGGAGAGGGCGGGCAGCTCTGCCCCCTCCCCACCCACAGGGGCAGGACACAGCTGTAGGACAGGGGCTGGAACCCCCACGGCAGCTCTTCCCATGGGTGGGATGCTCATGGGGTCCTGTCTACAATCTGTTCCTGCCGCTCTTCACCAAGGCCTGGGTGACATGGGGGGTTATTCGATCAAAGCTTTCCTTGGGGGTTGTTGTGACCCGGGGCAGACCCCGTAGAGAAAAGGCCCAATCCCGGCTTTGCCGGGGCTGGGGAACATCCAGGAGGAAAAACTCCCGGGAAGCCGCTGCTTGGGAGGTCCCCACCATCTCCCTCCCACGCGGGGGCTACAGTGTGAGCCCGGAGCCCGGGTGGGCTGGGGCGCGGGGGTCGGCTCTGGTTTGAGGGGCTCCGCTCGGCTCTCGGGAGGGGGGGGTGTCCCTTGGGGGAGCCCCTGGCAGCGCAAAGGTCCCCGCGGGGACGGGTCGGGTTGTTTTCCGCGGGGGTCCCACCGTGGGCACCCCCAGGCCGTGGCCACCAGGTGGCACCAGGAACCCACGGACGGGGGGCACGGGTACTGTGGGATGGTGGGGACACAGGTAACCGTGGGATGGTGGGGGCACAGGTACTGTGGGATGGTGGGAGCACAGGTAACCAGGGAAGGTGGGCACGGCTTCTCAGAGAACCCATGCACTCACACCCCACAGCCCTCCCCCCCCGTGTACCCTGCACCCTCCTGGCATCCCTCACCCGCTGCCAGCCCCGTGCTCCAGCCGGCCCTGCAGAGCACAGGGGTCCCTGAAACCAAGGGGGTCACTCAGCTAAGGAGGGTCCCTTGGCTAAGAAGGGTCTCTCGGCTCTCAGGGGTCCCTTAGCAGGGCCCTGGCGCTGCCAGAACCAGCCTGATGAGCCCTCGGCTCCTGGGGCTCTCTGTGCACCCCCCAGTGCTGCCACCCTGCTCCCCAGGCCCTGCAGCTTTGAGGGTCAGGGCACCTTTTGGGGGCAGAGCCGCAGCAGCCCCGGCTGGGCAGGTGGAGCAGGGGGGCTGCTCTCGGAGGGCAGTGGAAAGGGGACAGGGAGGTCCCTGAGCTTGGGAGCTCCGGGATCCCGCCTGTGGCTGGGGCAGCGCGGCAGGAGCGGGGCACAGGGAGGACAGAGCAGGGCAGGCAGGGGGTTTAAAACACGTCTTCCCGTGGCGCTCCGGCATCCAGAGCCAAAGCCGATGCAGCCTGGGTTTGTCCCTGCTCCTCTCCGATGTCCCCTCGGCCCTAGACCCGCCGGTCCCCCTCACAGCACTGCTGGAGCATCATCTCCATCTGTCCTGGAGCCGAGGGAGCGGAGAGAGGCGCTGCCTCCATCCCCTCGGCATCCACGCTCTCGGAAGCCTCTTCCCCGGCCGGGTTATCTAATGGCTGTGGCAGAGCCTTTAAATGTCACCCACTCCGGAGAGCGGGAGGGGAGGGGAGCCCGGTGAGACAGAGGATGGGAGAAACGGGAGCAAAACAGTATCGATTTCCAGCCAATTATCACTGTTATCAAAGCAGCGCAATTAAAGGATGAGGCCGCGCTGCCGAGAACCCCGCCTGCCCCTGCGAGGCGAGGCACGGGCTGAGCACACACAGACAGACAGACACACAGACATACAGACACACTCACATACACACACTCACACACACACACTCTCCACGCAGGCGTCCTGAGCCCAGCCGAGCTTGTTTTCCCCGCGGAGTTAATCTCCCCCGCCCGCTCCACGGCCTCTCTTTCCGCGCAGCCAAGATGTGCCTCCATCTGGCTCCGGCTGAGCCCAGGGAGGGCGGAGGGCGCTGGGGATGGCTGGCAAAGCGCTGCCCTCGGCTCTTGCCCGACGAGGGGATGGAGCCGCACGAACTTGGCTCGTTTCTCATCCTCAGGGTCCTCTAAAATGTTTTCTCTCCACGTACCCACCCCTCCTTCTCCCTCCTCCTCCCCGCTGCCCCAATGCACAGGGACTGGCTCCAACCCCGCTGCGCCCCGGGGCACTCCCACATTGCCAGCTGGGCACTTGCCCTACAGCAGTTTGGCTTCTTACACTCTTGCAGGATGAGCGTCAGTCACACAGCTCCCAGTTACACCAAATACATCCCTGACACTCGGTTTGTTCAGCTGGAGCAGAGGAGACTGAGGGGAGACTCCTCGGGGGCTGCAGCTCCTCCCGAGGGCAGGCGGAGGGGCAGGCGCTGAGCTCTGCTCTGGGACCAGGGACAGGAGCCAGGGAAGGGCTGGAGCTGTGCCAGGGGGGTTGGGATGGATCTCAGGGAAAGGTTCTTCCCCCAGAGGCTCCCCAGGGCAGTGGGCACGGCCCCAAGGCTGCCAGAGCTCCAGGAGCGTTTGGACAACACTCTGAGGGACAGGGGGGATTGTTGGGGTGTTCTGGGCAGGGCCAGGAGTTGGACAGGACTATCCCTGTGGGTCCCTCCCAGCTCAGAACATTCTGGGATTCTGTGATTCCATGATCCCATCACTGTTGGGTGCACAGGGACCCACTGAGGTCCTGGCACAGGTTGCCCAGAGCAGCTGTGGCTGCCCCTGGATCCCTGGAAGTGTCCAAGGCCAGGTTGGACAGGGCTTGGAGCAACCTGGGCTAGTGGAAGGTGTCCCTGCCCATGGCAGGGGGTGGGACTGGATGATCTTTAAGGTCCCTCCCAACCCAAACCATTCTGGGATTCTACAAGTACCCACAGGTGGCACTGAAATGTGGCAGTGTGGTTCCAGCATGGGGAGGATCAAACACCTCCATCCCCAGAGCCAAACCCAAGTCCAGGGTCGATCCCTGGTTGAGCAGACCCCAAATCCTTCCCTTCCTGGCCTGGAGCCTCATCCCCACAGGCTGTGCTCCCCACACCCACGGCACAGCTCGATGGCAGTGCCTCCAGCTGCCACCTCAGGAGATGCCCCACAAACAGCTGGGGAGGAAGGAGAACGTGTGTGCTCTGAGAGTTGAGAGACATTGCCTTGAGAGTTGGCCAAGTTGCCCTTGGGAGGGAATTTATACAGGAAACCACGGTGGTTGATGACAGCAGGAGCCCTGTGCTCCTCACCTGGCCTTGGCCACGCTCCCCTGCAGCGTGGGAGCCCCGTGCCAGCTCCGAGCATCGCCCCTTCCTCAGGGAATGAGCGGGGCCCGAGCCCTGACACCCTGCCCAGGCACTGACCATCACCCCTTCCTGGGCACTGGCCATCACCCCTTCCCTCTGCTGTGGATCCCAGCCCTGCTCTCCCCCACCTTGCACAGCTAACACATTAACCCAGTGCTGCGCCGGCCCCGCTCCCTGCCTGCGTGACACACATCTGGGCCAGCAGAGAGGTGTAGGGGGGCATCAAATCCTTTTAAAAGGCTCAGTGGGTTAGAAACCCCCTTTGCAATTACCACCTTCTCCTTGTCTGGCGCACACAAAGGGCTCTCCGGGGCGCTGGGCATGTTCCTGACAAACCCAGGGTGGCCGCGGGAGCCGGGAGGGAAGGACGGACGCAGGAGCCTTTTCAGACACACCGCTATTTGGTTGCAAACTGCTTAATTTCCTGAACAGAATGATATTTTTGTTGTTTGTTGTTGTTTTGATGGGAAGGACAGCACTTTTTTGGCATGGTACAATCCCAGGGCTATTCATCCGTCGCCACAGCAACGGGCTCCATCAATGGCCGTCCGAGATTGCAGATGATTAGAGACAACATGTAAAAGGTGGAAGACGCTGGGCACCTTGCAAACCTCATCTTCCCAAATGACTTGAATTATCCTCATTATTTCTCCCCGGCCAATTCTCTCCCCAGTCCGCAGGAGACGCCGCTGTTATATAAACACGGGAAGAGCCAAGTTATGAGAGCGGGCGGATGAGAAGGGAACGATCCCTTCTGGTGGGGACTGACCTGGAAAGCTCGTGACATGGAGGATGAAACCCTTGAGGTGCTCAGGGAGCTCTCCCTGCGCCTGGAAGGGCCGCAGAGCTGCCGTGGGGGCAGTGGGGAGCATGGCCAAGATTGGGGTGGGATGGGGTGGCCACGAGCTCTGCGTGTCCCCGGTGCTGCAGGACCCCACAGCCTCCTCTGGCTCTGCCCTGGGCTGTGCTGCTCCATCCCACAGACGCAATGAGGAGCTCTGAGTCGAACTGGAGCACTTCAGCCCATCCCAACCACCTGTTTTGGGGGCAAAGCAGAGAGAAGCAGGTCAGTGGAGCCTGGCAGAGCCGTGCCACGTCCCAGCAGAGGGGCTCCCCATGGTGGCAGCGTCCTGGAACGTGGCAGCCCTGAAACTTTAATGCCCCCCTGCAATATTCATGGTGCTTCCGAAGGCGAGGATGGCACAGAGCAGCCTGAATATTTCATGGGTGGCTCTGCACTGGGATTTTGGGGAGGGTTTCCTCCACTGCTGCTGCATTCCCACCCTGCCATGGAGTCTGAGCCATCATGGGTGGAAAAAGGGTGATGACACCCCAGTCTGCAGCCCAAGAGTCCTCCTGGCCAAGCTGGGAGGAGACGTCAGGTCCTTCTGGGCATGTCTCTGCTCCAGGGGGATCAGGAGACTCCAGGAGAGGGGCTGGGGGTCTCCAGGGTGACCCCCCAAACTGGTTTTGGTGGCTGTCCCACACAGCAGGTCCCAAAGCGCCATGTGGGGGGCCTGGAGTGCCCACCCTGGGCTGGGCTGGGCTAGGCTGGGGTCACTAGTAGGGACAAGGACAGCAGCTGTCCCCAGTCCTGCCCTCCCTGCCCATTGCAGGGCTGTCCCCTGGCTGGATGTCACTTTGCCAGGGCCATGTAGTGGCACAGGAGGTGAGGGCCACGGGGGTGGCTGGGATCCAGATCAGCTCTCCGTTGGGACATCCCCGCCGTGAGCCAGGTGCTCACAGCCAGTGTCACACGGGATCCTGGTGCCAATGGAGCCAGCCCGGGATGGCACGAGGTCCCCAGACCCCCGGAGAGCCAGCAGTGAGGGGAGGGGGTGGTGACAACTCTGCCCCAGTGCAGCCCCTCCCCTGGAGCCCGTCCTGAGCAGCTCCCTGCCTGTTCTTCAGCAGCTTTAGGGGGGCTGCTCAGGGTGGGGGCTGCCTCTGGAGCCCCCTTAGCTGGACCCCGAGGGCAGCAGAGCCCCCCGTGGTGGGGACAGGGCTCCAGGGATGCCCTGGAGCCTCCACCTTTGCCAGGGCAGAGCCTGTCCTGGTGCACGTCCCTGCCTCTCTCTGTGCCTCGGTGTCCCCCTGTACCCTGGGGATGAGCCCAGCCCTCCCTCCAGGCATTTTCCAGGGCCACGGGCAAGAGAACGGGACATCAGCGGGCTCCTGAGCTCCACCCAGGTACAGAGCCCAGCCCTGGGCACGCTGATGGGAAGAGTGGCCAAGGGAGGGGCAGGAGGAGGCTGGGTGTGGGTGCTCCCCCCCCGGGACTCAGCACCTGGCAGGATCAGCTTTGCTTCCCTACTGGAAGGATGCTGGGGCCTGTCCTTGGAGCAGGGGACCAAGGACTGCTGTCACCTCCCCTGGGTGGCTCCCAGGGAGCAGGGACACGAGGGACAGCTCTGCCCCGGTGTGGGGAGGTGGCTGTCCCTGAGGCAGGGGGTGGCCCTGGGGGTGGAACTCTGCTGTGTGCTGACCCCACGTTTCTCTGCTGCTGCAGCCACCGTTGCTGTCCCCCAGCATCGCAGGTGATGTGAGGAACTGGAACCTCTGAGCTGGGACTTTTGTTCCCTTCACGGGTCCACGTGCTGGCTCCTGGACTGGGCTCAGCCCCCTGACATCAGACCCCACCGTGTCCCCCTGCTCAGGGATCCTGCCCACCCCCAGCTCCCTGGGCTCCTGTTCGGGTCCCATCTGCTCCCCAGCAGCCCCAGCGCCCCAGGGCAGGGGGGAGGACGGCTGAAACCACAACAGGCTGTTTGCAGGGAGCCACGGCTCTGATCTGGCTCGATTGGAGCCGATAATTAACAACAGGAGAGGAGATCAATGAGGGAAGCGGCTGCGCTGCAGGCAGGGCTGGGGACTGGGATGGGGAACGGGATGGGGAATGGGCTGGGGAATGGGCTGGGGACTGGGATAGGGACTGGGATGGGGACTGGGATGGGGACTGGGATGGGGAATGGAATAGGGACTGGACTGGGGACTGGGATAGGGAGTGGGATGGGGACTGGGCTGGGGACTGGGATGGGAAATGGGCTGGGGGCTGGGCTGGGGATTGGGATAGGGACTGGAATGGCGACTGGGCTGGGGCCAGTGGAGCCTGGCTCTGACACCCCCTGGCACCGCAATGCCAGGTCTCTGCTCCCATCCCGCATTCCCAGGAGGAGGAGGATGGGAGACGCACCTCCAAGGCCCCACAGGGAACCAGCCCACCACCAGGCTGGGGGCGACAACGCGGGGGGAGGAGGAGGAGGGCAGAGATAACCCCCCTTATACCCCGCAGACCCCGGGCCACGCGCCCACGCGCGACGGAGCCGGAGCCGACGCTCCAGGGCCGGGGAGCTCCTGTGGGGGGGGGGGTGGGAGAAGGAGTTAATTCCTACACCGAAAAGCTCTTTGCCGGCCTCTCGTCTCTAATGGAAGAGTCATGTCGGATTAGCGGGCGGGCGCGAGAGGCGCCGAGCGAGCGCCCTGCCTGCCGGCGCCCGGCCCGGGGGACGGCCGGGCCAGCCATGCGGAATGGCAGATCTGGGCCACTGTGCCAGCGCCGGCGGGGGCCGCGGGGAGCCCCGTCCAGCAGAGCCCCCCACGCGCGTCCTCACCCCGGAGCTGCTTTCAACCCCCTGCTCCCGAGCAGCTCCGGGGGGAAAAGCGGGGTTTGGGAAGGAAGGACGCCCCGCACTCGCGCCGCTGCAACCCAATAGCCGAGGGCGAGCGGCGCCCGGGCGATGGAAAAGTGGGTCAGGCACATTGGACACCCTGTGTTCCTCCTCCCCTTCCACGCTCCTTATCGCAGCCCCGATGGTAAATAAACCAGCCCGTCTCCCCAGCAACCCAGGCGGGCGCTGGGCCGTGCCGGGAGCGGAGTCCAAGGTGAGCCGTGGTTGCGGCCGCTGGAGCCAGCCCGGCCGTGCCAGGGGATGAACGGGAACCCCCCCAGCCCACGGGCACAGCCTGGCAGCCGGGAAGCGCCATCCTGGGCTCTACTGGGCTGGGAACGCTGGGGAAGGCCCATGTCTTGGTGTGAGGCTGCCACTGAGTGCCCCCACCCAGGTCGCTCGCTGGTTCTGGCAGAGCCCAAGGTGGGAAAACTCCAGGAGATGGGAATATTTCCCACCAAGAAGCAGAGTGAGGTGCTCGAGGCACCTCGTGTCCGC